GATAGCTAGAGTAAAATTATAAATTAGTTTATAGTATAGTAATTAAGACTATATATTAAATATAACTAGGATAACTAGTTAGAATACCTACTAATAGTAGATTTTATAGTATTAATTCTTCTATAGGATATAATAAAGAGGTCCCCTTTCTTTATTAAATAGGGTTATAAACTAGTAATATCTTTTAACTAGAATTATATAAGACTAATATATAATAAATAAGAAGTAGCTAATTAACTCTTAAAGTTATAATAAATCTAGGAAGATATATATAAATAAATTATAAAGTTATAGGAACTATAAATATAGTAGGCTAACTGTTATTATTATAAAGAGGACTTTAACGTTAGCGACCTAGTCTTTATCACTATAAAAGATTAGCTATAGGACTATCTAAGTTAAAAACTCTCCTATATAACTAGTAGACCCTATAAGATTATCGAAAAGGTTAGGAATATATATAAGTTAGAACTACTACAGTTAATTAATATCTACCTAGTATTTAACCTAAGTAAGCTATAGAAGGTAGTAAGTATAGAACTACTTATAGGATAATATATAGATCTACTACCTCTAATATAGGTAGGATAGACTAATAAGTAGGAAGTTAAAAAGATCCTAGATATAAGAAAGTATTATAGGAAGCTGCAGTACTATATATAGTGGTTAGGACATAACCTAGATCCTATATAGTACCTATCCGGTAACTTTAAGAATACTCTAGAGATAATCAAGGAATTCTATAATACCTATCTAATAAAGCCTAGACTACTAATATATCTATAAGAATAGATCGAGGCCGCGTAGGATAATTAAATATTAGATAACCATATAGATAACGAGAAGCTAGTATTTAGAGACTAAATGTATTCTTACCTAGAGGTTATATCACAATTAGTATGTATAGAACTCGTACCTTCCCGTTTAGGATCGTACTATTAGTCGTTTACGCAAGCAATCGTACCTTCCTTTATGGCTAAGTGAGGATAGGGCTTTGCCCCTAAAGGGGTATAAGGACCCGTTTGTTATTTTATATTTTTATTTTCTTTTCCTTTTTTCTTCATACTTGATATTTGATTAGAATGTACTTCTTTCGTTAAAGAGAACCTGGCATATAATAATAGCTATATTTACCTTTTTCTTTAGGTATTTAAATATTATATACCCCTTCTCCTTATAGTAGAAGTATTAACCTTCCTTTATAAGAGTCTCTTATTCTATAGTTAATAGGCTAGATAATAAGATAGCCCTTTCTTACTTTATATATAAGATAAAACTAGACTAATTAGTAGTAGTCTTAGTTTTACTTCTAAATATAGTAGTTATATAGGTATATATAATACCCTTTATTTCCTATTAGAGATTAATCTTATAAGATATATTCTAATAACTCTAGATAAAAGTATTAAAAGGAATTATTTCTTAATTAATAACTTATATAACTTAGTTCTATAATAGATATAGAAGTTTTAAATATAGGTTATACTTATAGTTTTCTTTAATAACTATAGCTTCTTCTATAAGTTATATAAATTTAGTTAAAAAGTTAGTAAAATCTTCCTTAGGTTTTATCTTAAGTTTATAGTAGGCTATATATACTTCTATATAATAATTTAGGTTTATAAAGATAATATAGAGGTAGATAATAATATCTTTTATATTAATATATAGGTTATTTAAGGTTATACTTATTTATAGTATAATATATAGCTATACTTTATCTTTATATCTACTTTATATATATAGCTTTTAGTAAACTAGTAGTAGGTAGTAGTTAGTATTTACTTTAAGTTTCTATCTAATAACTATTTCCTATATTTTAAAATAGACTTCCTTTCTATCCTTTAATATTAATATATTAGGTATCTTTATAGATTTCTAGCTAGTAATTCCTATAATTAGTATATTACTTTAGGCCTAGTTTATTTTATTCTAAATAAGAATAAGGTAGTAGGTAAGGTTATTATACTTATATATAGTAATATCTCTATAAGTAATAGCCTTATTATATTCTTCTATAGCTTAGTTATATTCTATTATAAGATAATCCCTTTCTATATAGAATCGATTATATTCCTCTATAATTTATTTAATAGCTTCCTTAGACTTTCTATTCTTTATAATTAAGATTTAGATTTTATCTTATATTATCTAGTTATTATCTTTAACTATTTAGAACTAATTAGTTAGCTTAGTAAATTATTCCTTATTAGGAGTTAAGTATATAATCTCTTAAATAGAAAGAGTTAAAAGACCCTCCTTAGGGCTATTATATTTAATACTTTTAATTAGGTCCTATATTCTAGTAGGAGTTAGGGTTTTAAGATTTATAGCTTCTTTTATAAGGTAATCTAGTATTATAGGTTATTTTCCCTTACTATTTATAGTAATCTATTATAATAGAACTATAGCTAGTCCTATTCTAGTTAATTTTAGGATAGGTAGGATAAAACTAGATTAGGATTAATTATAATAATTATCTATATAGTTATATAGCTTCGAAAGTTTAGGTTTAGGGTAATACTTAATATTATATTATTACTAGGTTCTTTTAATAGAAGAAGTATATTACTAAATAAATATTAAGTATAGAGAAAGAAAAGAAAAGAAAATAAAACATAAAATAATAAATAGGTCTTTATATCCCTTTAGGGGTAAAGCCCTATCCTCGCTTAATCTAGAAGGAAGGTATAATTACTTATATAAATAAGAAGGAACGACTAATAGTATAATCCTAAATAGGAAGGTATAAGTTCTATAAGTACTAATTGTGATACTAGGGTCCTAATAATATCCCCCTCCTTATAGTATATAGTCCCTATAGGCTTAGAATAGGAGAAGAATAAAGGAGTAACTTAGTCTATTAAAACCTATATATCTAAAAAACCTTATAGTAAGGGTAAAAAGGTATCTAGGGAAAGGTATCTAGCCTTAATACTCTAAAAATATAAAAAATAATATAATAGAAGTATAAATAGAGGGTATAGTATATATAATAAGGTCTATATATAGTATAGTTATATAACTATACTAAGAAATTAGGTAGCTATAGTCTCTAATAGATATAGTATATTAGTTAGCCTATAAACTTAGGTATCTTATATATATAAGGTTTAGCTAAGTAGTTATTTACTAGTAAGAGAATATATTAGAATATATATATTCCTGTTTTAATGATATCATTAATAATATTATTAATTGCTTACTTTATTATATCTAAAGAAAGTTATAAATCATCTAATCTTTGATTTACTGAGTTATCCGCGATATTTGATTACTATAAGAAAGCCCTAAATTATACTAAATGTTAGGTAGATAAATTAACTATTTTATCCTATAATATATACTTTAATCTTATCTTTGACCTAATACTTAACCGCCTAGCTATTTATCTATTTAAATACTATATATTTAACCCCTTAAGAGTATATTATAAAGTATTATACCTAGTTTTACTATACTCTAATAGTTATAAGCCTAGCTTAATCCTTTTATCTAAACTATTTTATCTAAACTCTTTTATCTAATATTAACTATCTATCTAATCTTTTCTTATCTAATCTTCTTCTATCTAATTTTACTATTATAATAGAAGTAAAATCCCTAGTTATACTAAGTTAGTAATCTAATTAGCTAGTCTAGTATATATATATTAGATTAATTACTATTAGTTATAGACTATAGGATTATATTAATCTAGAAGAAATAATGACCTAACTAATATTAACTAAACCTATTTATCCTATCTTTACTAAGATATTTATAAATAATAAAATGATATTTACTTTAACCAATTATTAACTTTCTCTCTAGTAAGAGTTAAGATAAGAATATAAGATTAATTATAAATAATTTAAGATAATTAATAATAGGGCTTAAGCCCTATTCTATATTATTATTAGATTAATCTTAATTAATAATAGATAATTAGTTAATAATACTATAGCTAATTAAGATACTTTATCTATACTATATAATATCTATATACTAATAAATAAATTAAGAAAATATTATATATAATATAATAATAGTATACTTTATAGTAAGGACTATTATATAATCGATTGATTAAGAAGTAGCTTATAAATTAGGAGAATATCTATATAGAAGTATCCTAAATAGAAATCGCTAAAGCTATAGGATTATATACTTTATATAACTTTCTTAAAGCTATAGGATTATTATCCCTATATTTTATAGAGTATTAGACTAATTATTTTATAATAATCAAAGAATTAGGTAGAATATTACCTAATTTCTATTTACTAATTAAAAAATACTATAATTCTATTTATCTAAATCTATTAAAGATTATAATAAAGGTTATATATACTACTTTCTAAGGTAATAAATAAAGTAGTAAAAACTAGTAGAAAGATTAGATAAAACTAATATATAATCTCTAATACCCTTACTAAGAAGACCTAAAGTAAGGAAACTATATATTTAATAACTACTACTATATTAATCCTAAGAAGAGACTAAATAATTAGAAAGTATTACCTAATATAAAAGAATGGTTCGAAAAAGTATATTAATATAAAGGCTTTAATTATATATATTAAAATACCCTAAAAAGTATACTTTAGATAATAAAAAGAATAAAATAATAATAATAATAATATAATTTAGTAGCTATACTACTATATAAATATAGATATTATATAATAACCTCTTATATAATCTCTAGGTATTCGATATAGGTTCTAATACCTATCTATATAATAATATAAGTAAGTTTATCGATTAGCCGTCTTACCATCCCACCCTGGGAGCCAGGGTGGGTCTGTCCCACATAACGAGAGTTTCCCACAAAACGAGAGATTTTCAATTTCACCACTGCTTTAAACACATATTTACATATAACCACCACGACTATCTAAATACCATTTCCCAGGACTACCATATCTAGCCGATAATCTAGCTTTACGTTCAGCTTCAGCCGCGTCCCTTGCCATTTGAGCCTATTGTTCAATTTCTGCTAGCCGGGCATGTTTTTCCTATAGCCTCTGAATCTTCTTCTGGTCGGCCTCCTGCCTTTTTTTGATCATCCGATTTGCATTTGCCGGTGTGAGTGCCATTGGACCTGTATTGAGAATTGATTTGCGATTTTTGGGAGCGCTTGCTCGCGATCTGTGGTCCTGAGACTTCTTTAAAGATTCCTCGTATATTTCGAGCCGCTGGGCTAGAAGTAGATTTGTATTGGTACTTCGACGAATATGCCTTTTTATCCTCATAGATAAAGAATCTAGCTTAGCTAGATTATAAAGAAGCTTATTATTAAGCTTCTTAACCTGTGGGATAGTATCTAGTGGCGAATTGGTCACTGAGTTAGAAGGCTTAGGGGGGGGTGATAGTATATTGATTATCCTAAGAGTTTCTCCTTGCTCCGCTTACTCCTGTAAAGGACTAAGAATCTTCTTAGGATCTAAAGGATAAATACTACGAGAACTAAAAGATGATCTAATAGTTCGTTGGGTAAAGCCCTTCTGTTGGATATCACCAATTATCCGGAAAAAATCCCGCTTTTAGCTAACACTTCTACCCTATATTACTACTTTATTATTTGCCTTTTTGAAGTAGTGTTTGATATATTAGAATGCCTAGCTATTAAGGGGTTGGTATAGATGGGTTGTATGGGGTAAAAACTAAATTGGAATGATGTTTTTGTTGGTATAAAAAGTGGTAAATTCAAGTGTTATATGGGATGGATGGTTATCTATAAGAAGAACCTGGGGCCTATTCTGTTTAACCCGATCTTTTGTAGCTTTATGGAAAGAATAAAGCCATTCGAAAGCAGTTTTATTATTAATCTACCCCTTAGGGGTAGGTTTAATACGAAAATCGGGAATTGTGATATTGGTATACCACTCTTCTATCTGCCGGTTTCCTTTGACTAAAAACCACGGTAGTATCACCTAACTATCGGCAGTAATACATTTAATACCAGTAATTAATTTAGTAAGACTACTAGTAGCGATATGACTAGTTGCTCTAGAAGAAATAACTTTACGTGGCTTTCCCTGGCTAATTTGGTAGCTAGTCTTATCCTAATTATAGATCTTATGAGGGAGGATTTTATGTTCTTCTATAACCTTTGAGAAGTGGTAAAACTAGAGAGAAAGACTCTCTATATTTTCACTTTCTATACGCGCCTTTTCCTTGGGTTTTTGCATAAGATATTTGATATCGGGGGGTAGTTGTCGAAGAAAGCGATATACCTAGTTATGACCAACGGTAACTTTATAACCTGTGTGTACTAAAAGCCGATTTGCAGTCTCTTCAATCTCTTTAGGGGAAGGTTGAATATAATTGGTATCTAGCAATTTGATCCAGCTAACTAATACCTTTTCTTGAATTGGACTGAGGGTTTTGGAAAGGTCGGTACGGTTGGAATGAGTCTGGCGACTGTGGAGACGCGTATAGAGGGTTTTGTAAGGAACTGAGAATTCTTGCGCCAATGGGGCGATTTTTGGCTTTTTTCTTTGATGGTAGGCTTTGATAGCTAGTTGCATTTCATCCTCTGAATATTTGGCTTTTTTCGATATCGTTTTGTGGTAACAAAATTGGTAGGAAGTTGGTGTAAAAAGAAAAATCTCTCGTTTTGTGGGAAACTCTCGTTATGTGGGACAGACCCATACCTGGTCTAGGTATGGGGGCGGTAAGACGGCTATATACTAAATTTATCTTATATTTCTATTAGAGATATAATTATAAAAATTAATAGTTTTAGGACTATTTTAGTAGAACCTACTAAGTTACCTAATTAAACTATATTTAAATTAATAAATATAGTATATTCCCTAGGTTTTTATCTTAACTTAATATTAGCTGATTTAGTAGAGAAAGTAGGTATATAGTATAATAGATAAAAAAGCTACCTTAAAAACGATAAAGGAAGCCTTATTTATAAGGTTAAGAAGGATTCTAACCTAATTTTTATCTAATAGTACTAAGATTCCCTTAATTACCTAATAATATTAAAGATTAATAATTAGATTAATATAATTAATTTATCTAATCTTATTAACTATATAACTATACTTAACGTCTTATATATAATATAGTTAGCTAATCCTTATATAGTAAGTAGGTTATATAATCTATAGTATACCTATTTAGGCTATCCTAATATATAAGTACTCGACTATCTTAAAAAAGTAGCTAAAAATATTAAAATTAATAAGAATTTAACCCTTTCTTCTTATAAAATATACCTAATTTCTAAGGTAAAAAGATAGATATCCTATTGACTAATTATAATAGGAGAAAACCTATTTAAAGCTATCTATTAGGACTTAATTTATATAATAAAAGTATATAATCACTATAGATATATCTCTTATCTAATTAACCCTATAACTAACGTAATTTATAAGCGAGTCGCTACCATAAGCGACCCGCCACCCTATCTAATAGTCTAGTTTTTTAATGCATTTATTTTAACCATAATGCTATTAAATTCATTAAACTAAAAAGAATCATTTATCTAGATACCTATTGATCTTATACCCTATCTTTCTATACCTACTATACCTTAGTATAGCCTATAGATATAGTTTTAACCCTGATTGAGTGCTTCCGCTTAGGGGGTCTAAGGGTATTTCTAATACTTCTATTAACCTAGTAATTATTTCAGAAGCTTCTTAGACTAAAAGACCCTCTATAGTAGGTATCTACCGTTTAGATTAGGTATACTTTTACTTCTTCTTCTTATTTTTAGTATATAAATCCTTATTTTCTTTTACTAGTAAAATAGTATTATATATTATAATCTAGTAGCCTTTAATAAGTTAGTTTAATATATATTTAGAAGGACTTATTAGGCTTTAAGATTAGGTATAAAGTAAAGCTTTAATTAATAAAGCCTATCGATATAAATCTTTCCTAGTAGTAGGGATTTTTAGTATAAAATTCTAGCTTAAATTACTACCCTAGCTTAGGGAGGGGGTTAGTATTTAAAGATAAATATTAAGTTTTAAAAGTACCTAATTAGGTAAAAAAGGTATTAAACTAGCTACTAAGAAGCTATTTTTAATTATCTCCGATTTTAAAGCTTTAATTTATATAGAGGGATATACTTTAAGGAAGTTATATTTATTAATATAGTTAATCCTAGTCTATATTTTTATCTTAACTAACTAGCTATACAATTATTTTACTATTATAAAATAACCGATATTAAGAGGTTATAAAAGGTAAGAGGAATATAGTAGTATATAAATTAATATAATATTATTTTCCTTATAAATCTTATCGAATTTTAGGATTAAATAGCTTCTATAACTATTAAGTACTAGAAACTAATACTAACCTTTTAACTATAGAAAAGTTGGTAGAATAAAGAGCTTTTAAAGCTAGTAAAGTCTAATTTTATTAGAAGTCTAGCTATTTAGACTAACTTTAAAATACTAGTTATTTAAAAGGTTATTAAACTAAGATTCTATATAGACCTTACCTTTAAAAATAATATATAGAGGGAGGGCCTACCCTATTATATTTATATATTTAATTATAGTTACTTACTTATAATTTCTAGGTTATAAAAGTAATCTCCGACTATAGTATTTATATCTAGTAATAACCTTTACTATCGCGGTTAATCCTATAGTAAAACCTATCTTATTAAAGTTATAAATATTATCTAGATCAATTCTATACTAAAGAATGGTTTTTTAAACTAGATTAAACCACTCTCTAATAATCCTTAGGTCTTTACATTTCATATACTTATAATTATAATATCTTAAGAATCGGGATATAAGGATAGGATACTATTTAACGAAATTTATAACCTAATTTAGACTAACTAAAATAACTAGGGTTATTCTATATTATTTAAGAAGAAGATCTACTATTTCTTATATTATAGAGGGCTAGGGGGCTAATCTATAAGAATCTATAGAGAGTATCTATTTTTTAAGAGATTCCTCTTTAATTATAGTTAATTTAGTTAAGTTAGCGTAAGAAGTCGCGCGGTATTTTATACTACTAAGGTAGTCCTAAAGTATTAAATATAGTATATTAAAAATACAGGTGGTAGTAGAAATATTAGTAAATTCTTGATTTTAAAAAGCCTAGATAGCTAGTAAGATCTTACCCTCTTACTCTACTGAATTTATAGAGGATTAAGAGTATATTTGTGGTATGGTGGGTGGTTGAACTAACTAAGTGCTAATTCATAGACGCGTTTTTAGATAGGGTGGCGGGTCGCTTATAGTGGCGACTCGCTTGTGAATTATATTATATTATAGTTATAAAGATTAGGTAATAGATATAGTTTAGATAAAGTTTACCCTTATTAATACCTAATTTAATATTAGACTAAAGGTTTTATATTATAATAGAGATAGGAATTTACTCCTATTCCTTATAGAATATAAAGAAAAAGGAATTGAAGTTTATATAACCCTACCTTATTAACCTAAGTAAAATAGCTATACTAAGAGGTTAGGTACTTTAATCTTAATTATAGTATATACTATACTTATTAATACTAATTTACCTATATATTTATAGCCTAAGGTAGTTAATACTACTATTTATATCTAGAATAGGCTCCCTAATAAATAGCTGAACTAGATATCTCCCTAATAAGCGCTAGTTAGCCGAATAGTAATACCCCTAGTTTATATAATAATAATCCTATCTTTATTAAATAGGTTTATAGTTATAAGGTATACATTTAAATCCTATTAATACTATGCTTATTTAAAATAAGTATATATATATAGATCGGCTACCTTATTAGATATAATATATCTAATATATAGTATATTTAGATACCCTAACCTAGGAAGATTATATATATATATAACGTTATCTTTAATAAAATAAGCTTCTATACCCTAGAATAGGAGATTAATATTCTAGTAGTAAATAAGATAAATAAAGTAATCTTAATACTAATTTAGTCTAAATTTAACTAACTAATTAATAAAATTAAGGTTACTAAAGAAATCGATATATTAGATAAAATATATAATAAATAAATAGAAGACTAATTAATAATTAGGGTATCTGAATAACCTAAGGTAGAAGAAGTAGAACTAGATAAAATCCTTAGTAATTAGCTAGTAATACTAGATAAGAGTAAACTAGATAAAATCCTTAGAGATTAGCCTATTATACTATTAGAAAGTATTAATAATCAACTATATAATAATAGTTTAATAGTATTTATTAATAATTCTAACTTTATTAGAGATAATTATATATCTCTAAAGTAACTATTTTT